AAATTAAAGTATAATAGTGGTGACTTTGTGGTCAGCACAGACGCACAGTGCATGACGGACGTATCACGTTCACGTATAGAACGCTGGGTTTTCCCCATAAATGTAGAGATAACAACGAAAACTTGGTAACGGATAATATAAAACTGTTATTTCTACGCTATTTTCAATCGCTATTAGCACATTTCGTTTGGTATATACAACCAAACAATAGTGAATACCAAGGTTTTTAGATTATAATCTAAAAACCTTGGGTACGATAGTAATCTCAAATCAGTTAATCAGACATCACTGTTACATTACTGTTTTGTTTTGTGTTCGTATTACTATAGGTTAGGTTATAGGACGTGTCATGATGTAGATAATATATCTATAGTAATATTATCTACATCGTGCTAGGTGTGTAGTGGGGATTACACACGCGAGTATGCAACATTTGACAGTAATGGTCCAATTACTTATAATAATATGAGATTATGACAATAATTTATTGTAGCGAGTAGGTACAATGATTATCGCTATTATACCTTGGGTCAAACGATATCAAGTTTATTTCTTTTAACTTCTGGTCTTTAAAATTGATAAACTTTATTATGACCAGTGCAATCAGTGGGGTGAACTGCGCGATACCCCGCCAAATGGGCGTTTTACAATACATTTAGGGGCACAACTTAAGCTTACTGTAATTGAAATGATTTAAAAAGTGTAACATTTTTTACCCTGGGGCATAAAAATCACAATTGCTGCGGTACCTAGGTACTGACTAGGTATTACACATTTACACACAAACCTCACAAAACCACCCAACTTTGAGGAGCTATATCTCGTCAACGGATTAACGAAAAATGAAAATTTGAACGTGATAATTCATAAAAAAATAGCCTTGTTAGTTTATAACAATTTTTGTATGGGTCACCATTTGAAAATCAAAAGTTGATAGTGGTTTACCTAATAAATATAAGGGTGAAAAAAATTAAAATGTAATACAATTGTAGAAAAGCATGAATCTAAAAATTAAAAAAAAAATACAATTTGAAAAAGTCAATACTTTTTGAAATAATGAGTGTTCTTCGATAAAAAAATCACCCTGTATATAGTGTATGTATATCGATTATCGAAGCAGGGGTTGCCTATTAATTAAGTTGTGTAAAATACAGGTACATTTATTGTACGACATAACTAATTTACTAATGCATCAATTAACCCCTAGTAAACTCCAAAATATCAGAAATATTGTGTAGAAGGTGCTTTTATAAAAATCAAGTGATAAATGAAAAAGTGCGAATTTTTAATGGAAATTTATATTAAATTCAGAATCACGATAGCCGTCGTCGTGGTAGTCGTAACACCGTTGCCGATGTTACCAACAATATGTTCTGTTCTTTATATGATCTTATAGATAATTGTGTAAATAATCAATATTTAATAACGATATATATTTGTGATATCACAACAAAAAACATTCGTAAGTTACGTGTAAAAATGGCTAAGTAAAAAAAAAAAAGATCTTTAAAGATGACTATAAAGATGTGATTTCATGAATAAATGCTAAGTATATTAAATTTAAGTAAACTTATTTTGTTCAGTAATATATAGTAATAGTAGATATAAGTATTTTTATGTATAAATGGTTGCCGCATTGGTTCCTCAGATAGATGAGGTAAAAGCATGCATAAAATCGTAGCGTTTACGGCCTCGAATAAAGAAATTATGTCTTAAAAAAAATAAGAGATTTAAATGTACCTATATGTTTGCAGCTTAATACTCGAAAAATACTTGGACTATTTCGATAAAAGTCGGATCAATAGATTCATTGAGACTTAGAAGGTGTTAATAGCTTATTTATTTCAACCCCTATGGCCTATATGTATTAAAAGGGTCGTTGCTAATAAATTTATTATTTTTTTCAGCTAACGAAAAATGAAAAGGTATTATTTTTGTTTATTTGAGTGGTTGCCATAGGTTACATATTGTATTACCATTATAATACTATAATATGACACTTACCTTTATTTGTTTACAAAAATATTTATAAATTAAACAACAAATATATATGGCACGGACAACACCGGAACAGCTTGTTATCTATATTATATTATGTTATGTAATCATAACTAATCGAACGTGTCCAGACTGACGTAGAGCCTAACCTTTGATAGCTATAATATGATCTTGATATTTTGACAGTACCTAATTGCGTACCACTGCGTGAAGGAGCACTATAAAAAAGGATTGTACGAAATTCACATCTTATATCACGCACAATAGGGTTTCAAAATTCACGCTGGAATTTGGAATTGTTTTTATGTTTATTTGAAAACGGTTGCAATATTGGTTACAGGTTATAGGTAGTTGTATAAGAAGAAATTTGGATTTTTTTTTTACTTATAAATGGTTGCCATTGGTTACCAACTCGGTACTTCGGATGTATGTGGTTGTAACGGGACAAAACGAGCACATTACGAAATAGCTCACGCTATCTAGAGGTGGCCTAATGCGTTTGTACGCAAGTAATGATACATACCACGCAGGGCCGGTGTAAGGGCGGTGCAACCTGTGCACCTGCACAGGGCCCCGCGCAAATGTGGGGCCCCGCGGAAGCCGGCTCACTCCAGAAAAACTAATCATTACTGACTAAATATTATAAATATTATAAATTTACAATTTAAAATAATTATGGGCATTTTCGTGGTGTCGACTT